TGTATTCTCCTTATGATAGTTTGCCTGGCAGGTAGTTTGTAAGATGAGTCACCTGTGGCCGCGTGGAGAACGAGTTCGAGCCCATAATCCGGGCGTCTCGTGGCTATCCACTGAGCGAGTAGATTGGTTAGCTTGGCTAATAGATCTGTCCTTATGGCTGCATCCATGTCAGCGCGCCACTTTCATTGTGGTTATTTCACAGTAGGCCTACACAGGTTGGAAAAGTGATTCATTCTCGCCCCCATATATATGTACATCTGTGCTAAAATATCAAGGTGAAGGTTATCTTTAGTATAAACCCAGCTCCCAACCCAACTGTGAGAATAGAATAACGACGATACAACAGAGGGGGTGGTCTCGGGTTTCAGCTCTCAAAAACTTACAACGCAGCAATGGAAAAAATCTAAATCTAGATAAGTTAATTTCCCTCTGGGATTATTAAAATGTTTCTGATTCTGATTTGTCTTAAAATAAGTGCATTTGTTCTTGTATTGACAAGGTAAAAGAGACATTTTGCCAATGGAACAAGACGATTTACATTTAAAATAAGAAAATACAATTGTATTGTCTTATTTCAAGTGCATTTTATCTAAAAATCTTATTTTAAGGGTAAAAATACTCTTTCCATTGGCAGATCATCTAATTTGCCAACACAAATAAATGGTAAATTCCCTTTATTTAAGACATTTTTGCAGTGTGGAGTGGATTCCTTCCCGCTATCATCTCAATCCTCATCGCCATGCAAAGAACCAAAACATCTCGCCTGGTCAGCCAGTCCAACGATGACCCTAACGACTCTCGTTTCAGAGGCATAGGCCAGTATGGGGTATCGCACGTCAACAAAGACCTCAACGACTCCCCATTACTCAGGGGTGGACCTTTTCTTTCGGTTCAGTTTGCATGGTTTCTAAGCCATAACAAGGCTTTTTTGGGCTACTATATAAAGCTTGGAACTAAAACGCTAATTCAGACATTATGAATTGAAAAAGCTTCCTGGATGGGAAGCGAAACATCTTCAAACTTGGAAAACAAAGTCCAGAGGATTGTTTTTTAACTTTTTTGGAATGAATATCACCTTGATGAATGAGAATTTTCACCAGCATAAGCCTCAATACCATTTTCTTCCCCTCTTTTGATATAAATCTAAACATTTTGAATTATGACTAGAATATCAACAAATAAATATATCAACAAATAACTACAGAAGACCTTATAAGACTCAGAAAAAATGTGCTCTAACAATGTCTGTTGCAAAGCACTGGGCACACTGCCATCATGCTTCATCCATAAGCGGCAAAAGTAAAGTTATAGACATGAAAGAAGCTGGAAGCATCCTCAACTAAAAAAGCACAAAAAATGGAGCCAAGCAAAGCATGGACAGAGTAGGGATGAGGGGAAGAAGAAAAGGAAGAGAGAGCAGAAGAAGGGACAGACCTGAGTTCGTCCAACTGGGTGAGCCCGTGTCTTCTGGGTTTACATCACAAAATGGACAGACACAGACAGAGGAGAGGAACATGGATGTAAGAGGATGCACAAAGGGTAACAAAGGGAGGGGAACCAAGTCAGGACAAGGACAAGTTGGTGTGGAAATGGGACAGATTTAAAGGGTTACAATGAGAGGAAGTTGGAGGAAGGAGGGACGGAGGATTGGGGACACACAACAACAACAACAACAACACAACATTGACAAAACAGCAAACACAGAAGACACAAACGAAATCATCACATTCTCTAAAAACAGGCAAACTCCACCATGGGCACCCTGAGAAGCTGAACAGAGGAAGAAGGTGGAAGATTCGGGGAGGTTAAGACAGAGTTTAGTTATTAGAAAACCAAAGGAGGGAGGAGGGGATTCTCCGGCTTTAAGGAAAAAAAGAGAAACAGGAAAGAGATGTTAATGGGCCAAATCTGACCAAAACTGGAGACCCTGTTAAACGAAGATGTGAAGGAGAAAAGGAAGAAGTAGATGTCACTTTTGAATGGAGAAACTGTGGG